TCTTGACATAGCATTCATTTGCTTATTGCCTGTCTCCCTTCACTGGACTATCAGCTTCTCGAGAGCAGGGGTCTTGATGGCTTACTGCTTATTCTCCAGCACCTGCTGCATTGCTGAATGCAATCAATGAAGTCAGTTGGGCGCGGTGGCTCACGCCTGTAATCCTAGCACTCTGGGATGTGGAGGTGGGCAAATTGCTCTAGGTTAGGAGTTCAAAACCAGCCTGAGTGAGACCCCGTCTCTACTATGAATAGAAAGAAATTAATTGGCCAACTAATATATATAGAAAAAATTAGCCAGACATGGTGGTGCATGCCTGTAGTCCCAGCTACTCAGGAGGCTGAGGCAGCAGGATTGCTTGAGTCCAGGAGTTTCAGGTTGCTGTGAGCTAGGCATGACACCATGGCACTCACTCTAGCCTGGGCAACAAAGCAAGACTCTGTCTCAAAATCAATCAATCAATCAATCAAGTCAAAGGCAGAAAGAGAACAAAAGTTCATGAGTGCCTGGAACTGAAAACTGGAAAACCACCAGGACCTGGGGCAGGTTCTTTCCCAAGGGGATCTTTCTAGGGCCACATGTTTGTTCATTTCTACTTTTCCCTTTCCATCTGCTTTTTTGCTTCTCTCTATAGACTAGGACAGAGGAGGGAGGAATGCAGAGAAATAAAATGTTTTAAACTAGAGGCTTCCAAACCTTGTGGTTCATTAGAATCATTGCAGGATCATTTTGAAAACATTGGTTCCGTGGGCCAGAAGCGGTGGCTCACGCCTGTGATCCTACACTCCTGGGAGGCGACGGCGCGTGGCTCGCCTCAAGGTCTAGGCGTCTCAAACCATACTGGCAAGAGCACGACCTTGTTTCTAACTAACAAAAGAAGAAAACATGGCCATCTACAACTATACTACCGAACAACCTAGCCCAGCGCTGCGGCTGCAAGCTTGTAAACAAAACACTAAAAACCACACACACAACCAAACAAAAGAACAAAAACATTGGTTCCCTGGCTCCAGGACTCCCTGCCTCAGAAATATCCGCAGACAGGGCTCTGGAATCTACAGTTTTAAAATTCATATTTCACCAGCCATGCGCCGGTTTGTAGATCTCATCCTGGGCACTCTGCCTCCTAAGCAAGCCAAACGTTCCCCCGGCATTGGTTTCGATACACCGCTCCTACTGCCGGCTCTCCACCTTCCAGCGGCTACTTTTTTTGTTCCCTTATTAAGCTCTGCCAGGCTTGTCACACCTGCTTCCCAAATCCTGGCTCACAGGCCACACGAGCGCCCCCCCCCCTTGGTCTAACAACACAAATGCATAACAAGTCCCACACGCTCCCCCACACCACAGCAATCCCCGTCGCGTTCCCACGCAGACTCGTCGGCGAACGTTACAGTTGACTCATGGGCAACTGGGTGGGATATCCTCGCCAGATTACTGCCCCCACCGGCAAAAGAGCTTGTCACAACCCTTTTCCTGGCTATCTGGCCCACGCTGAAAAACCATACACAGCGGACTTTCCACCCACCTATTCTAAGTGTCAGACATCCGCTGGTCTGTATTGCAGACGGCGCCCCACAGAGGAGCCAACTCCCAAACAATCCAGTCAATCCTTCCTGCTCTGGGCACCAGTCTTCATTCTGCGCGCTTACCTTTCCCTCCACCAATACTGAGGATCAACTTCTTCCTCCTGTCATCCACGCATATGTAACCAATAGCTGAACAACGCACCAATGCCTTTGCCACATTCCAAAATTCCTCCCGCCCCCACTAGTTTTTGGTTTTTTCTACAGAACCTCCCTAATAGCTGTTTGCTTTATGGCCCACTTTGGCAACCCGTTCCCCCACAAGTTATCTTTTTGTTGGAGACAAAGGGCTCGCCCTCTGTTGCCTGGGGCTAGAGCCCACTGGTGTCCGCCCCCCCCAAGCTCATAGCACCAACACCTGTGCCCTTCCGAGCAATCTCCTCTTCAGCCCTCCCAAGTCAAGCCTTGGGACTGACGGCCTGGCCACATGCCCGGCTTATTTTCTCATGTACTGAGTTGGCAATATTTTTTTCCTATTTTAGTACAAGACAGGTCCACCGCTCCAGCGCGGTTTCCGAACCCTGAACCCTTGCGTGCTCTCACCGTGCTCGGCCTCCTCAGCGTGCTAGGCGTACACCGGCGTGGGAGCCACTCCACCGCAGCCCAACCGTTCCAGCATCACAGAAAAATAGAGTTTCCAAAAGTCTTCAACCGCTGTCCTTTATTCTGACGATTTACCCTATCCCACCGGTCCTACTTCAGCACCTTATCCACTTGGTAAGCAGCGAGAATCACTGGGATCAAAATATATCTGTTCCATATCTTCGGTTATGGCCCTATTTGCTTCTTGTGGGCATTTGGTTTCCTCACCCCCTGGGAAACCA